ATGCGGCTCTGTAATTGCTGGTGGAACCTGTCCTTAGAGATGATCGGAGCCACAACATTTAAAAGCTCAGCTCCTCCTGCCTGCCCTTCCCCTGGGCCCCTGCTGAGCTTTCTCACTGCCCGGCCCCTGGCCCCTGGGGCTCACAGCTCCAGGTCACTGTAACCTGGCAGATCTCAGACGTGGGTCACCCCAACTCTACACCCCAAGAGTCACACGGCCCCCAGAACACCTACTGGGAAGTGCCTGGCCCCAGGGTGCCCCTGCCCACAGCCCAGCTCAGCAGAGGGTGGGAGAGGCAAGACCGATGGGAAAAGCCCACAGAAAGCGGGGCCTGAGGAAGTTTCCAGTTCCTGCTCCCTCCACCGCTTGCTCACTGGCCTGGGTGGCTTTGACAGGTTACCCAAGCTCTCTGGGCCTCAGTTTCCCCTTCTGTAAAATGGGAATAATGACAATACTCCCGGGGCTGGGTGAAAAGTGAGATTCGTATAGGCAAACCCGTAGAGTCCTCAACCAATTTAGGGGCCGCGATTATTACTGAGTTCAGCAACGTGCAAAGTCCCTTCGCCAAATCATAGCAGAAGAGAGAGAGGATGGGAGGGAAGGGGAAAAGGAGATGAGCAGGTCTTCATCTCTAAAAACTCATGTCAGAAGGGAAGGGCCAGGAGGGGGGAGGCAGACCTGGGGCCTGTACGTGGGTGGCACTCGGCGGAGGGGACAAATATACGAGGAGATGAATGTGGAGGGGGCAGGTGCACACTCTTCGTTTTGCAGAATTGTGGGGTGCAGGCTCGATCCCCAGTGTGGCAGCCAATCAATGATTCTCATCATTGATGTTTGTTCTCTCTCTTCCTCTCCCTTCCTCTCTGAAATCAATAAGAATATATTAGAAAAAAAAAAGGACTAGAAAAGTGTTGGCTGGTGTGATGGAGAAAGTAAATGCATTTTTTTTCCTCTTAAAAGCAGTTGTCTCACCCCCCCCTCCCCCGCAGCTCCCCTCCCTCCTCTGTATCATCCGCCTCCCAGCAGCCCCTCCCAACTGGAGAGATGCCGCCTCCATGAGTCATCACTTCCTCTGACTTTTCTGGCTGTCAATGTTCTTTCGCAGACTTTCTCCCCTGGGGCTGCTGTCCGGCTCTCCTTCCTGCTGCATCTAGAGCAGCGGTTCTCAACCTTCCTAATGCTGTGACCCTTTAACACAGTTCCTCAGGTTGTGGTGACCCCCAATTTCATTGTTACAAATTGAACATCATTAAAGCATAGTGATGAATCACAAACACAATATGTAATTATATACGTGTTTTCTGATGGTTTTAGGCGACCCCTGTGAAAGGGTCGTTCGACCCCCCAAAGGGGTCGCGACCCACAGGTTGAGAACCGCTGATCTAGACAGTGTCCTAAACAGGGCAAGGGTGAACCTCGAACCCTAACGACCCCAGGCCCTTGTCTTGCCCTGGCCGCCCCAGGCTTGGCCACCACACAGCTCGGTTCCAGCCTCGGCCGGTCCCCTGTCTCTGAGCTGGGAGGGTTGGACCAGACCCTCCTAAGGCCCCACCACTGCTGACTCCTCTGACTCCAAAATCGGCCCCTTCCCCGCCAGCATCCCCCCCAAATGGGGCTTCAACTCACATTTGTGAGCTCAAGGGCTAAGGAACCTGCTCAGTCCATGTTGGTGTCCACCTTTAGCTGCCCCGCCTCAGGGAGACTTTTTCCACGAAGTCAGGGAAATAGACGCCCTCCCGCTGGTCCCTCCAGGTGAGGAAGGAGAATTCGGAGAAGGAGGAGGAGAAAGGGGAGGAGGAAGAGGAAGAAGAAGAGGGAGAAGGACTTTCACACCAGAGTCCAGACCAGGGACACCCTCCTCTCCTGCGGGGTCTGTGAGGCCCGGGGCCAGGGGAGGAAGGGTGTGGGTTGGACAGCCTGGCAGGCAGGTGCTGTCGGATTAAAGCTCTGACCTCAGGCAGTGACTGTGGGGATCTCGGTCGGTTGGCTGCAGGGAAAGGGGCACAAAGATGAAACCTGCACCAGGTGGCTCCCTCCTGGCCAGGGCCTGGCTGCGGACACGGACACGCCAGGCAGCTGCCTGGGGGGACCCCCTGCTGAGCATCCGGAAGTTGCCGCCCAAGTTCAGAGAGTGAGTGTGAGCCTTAGTCCTCTGCACCCTCCTCTCCCCGCTTTCCTCTGGCTTTGGGGGCCGGAAGGAAAAGGGGACCCCGGGTTCGCATCTGTGAGCAGCCACAGGAGGCTGAAGTCTCCTGGGGATGGGATGTGAGTGGGGCACCCCCCCTCCCTCCACAGCCGCTGATGTAAACGCGTCGTGATTTGCGTGGGGGGATTCCGGCCTGGGGTGCCCGTTCTGGGGCCGCTGCCAGGCGTGAAACATCTGCAGAAGGGACAGCCCCTGTGACTCATCAGCCGCCATCACACAGGCCTGGGCTCCTGGCAGGGCGGGTACTTCCTCCAGGGCAGTGGTTCTCAACCTTCCTAATGCTGCAACCCTTTCATACAGTTCCTCATGTTGTGGTGACCCCCAATTTCACTGTTACAAATCGAACATCATTAAAGCATACTGATTCATCACAAACACAATATGTAATTATATATGTGTTTTCCGATGGTCTTAGGCGACCCCTGTGAAAGGGTCGTTCGACCCCCAAAGGGTCGCGACCCACAGGTTGAGAACCGCTGCTCTAGAGCCGGCCCTCCACCAGCTTCCAGGGCTGGCCCTGGCTCCGCAGGACTTCTGTCCCCTGCCTTCCAAAGCTGGGGCTCTGGTGGCCCAGGTGGCCTCCCTCCCTGGGGGGCAGGTGGTCCCAGCAGGCAGAGCGTCAGGTCTGCTGGCCACAGCGGACACCAGGGTCTCAGAAAGGGCCCAGCTCAGCCGGAAGCAGCATCCGTATCTGGTCGGGCTGTCACTGACCCAGCTGTCCCCATGGCCCGCGCAGGAACAAGGCCCTAAGGGACAGGGCAGCAGATTCATCCCCCACGGCCTTTCCAGCCATCCCACATTTTGATCTCTACGGTCTGAAAGGGGAAAGATGATATTTCAGCGCAGTTTTGCTTTGTGTTTCTCTTACAATGAGTGAAGGTGAGCCCCTTTAAAATGTCTGAGACATGGCCCTAGCTGGTCTGGCTCAATGGATAGAGTGTCCGCCTGTGGACTGAAGGGTCCCAGGTTCGATTTGGCCAAGGGCATTCGATCCCCAGTAGGGGGCGTGCAGGAGGCAGCCAATCAATGATTTTCTCTCATTGATGTTTCTCTCTCTCTCTCCCTTACTCTCTAAAATCAATAAAGTCTATTAAAAAAATAAAATGTATGAGACAGCAACTTTTCCTTTCTTCCACAACTCGGCTCTGTCTTTGCCCATTTTTCTACTGATCCTTCATTTTTTTTTCTGTTTCTATAAAGTTTATAACTTTTGTTCTGGGATCTGAGTAACAGATATTTCCGAGTAACAGATATTTTTCCATTATTTTCATAGTTTGACTTTGCTGATTGTGAGGGTTTGCTTTACCATGTCTTTTTTTTTTTTTTTTTTTACTTTGATGTAGTTAAATTCATCATTGGAGAATTCTGTGGCTTCCAGGTTACAATTCGGTAGCTGAGCTCCACTCTGAGTTTATAATAGAATTCTCCGCTGGTCTCTTCCGGAATGTTTATGGACTTATGCAAATAATTACATTTATAATATCATCATAATGTAAATATATCATCATAACATAAATATAAATTAAAATATGATATCAATACATACATATATAATACATATGCAAATAATACAAGTCTAGATTTATCATACTTCTGTGACTATAGTAAAATAAATATTTAGGATAGGTGATATTAAATGTTTATAGATAAATATTATCGCAGTTAGAATTTAGCCCTGTGACAAGATGAGCTATGACTTGATTTTTTTTCTAAGTGGCTACTCCGCTGTTGCAATTCTATTTGTGAATCATCTATCTTTCCTCGTTCCTGCGTGTGGAGCTGTTTCCGGGCCTCTATTCTGTGCCGTTCACCTGTCTGTGTCCTTACGCACAAGTTCAGTGTTGTTTTAATCCCTCCGGCTTTGCCTGTTTTCAGTATCTGACAGGCAGACTCCCTTGCCTTTGAGAATTTTTCTGGCTAAGCTTTATGTTTAGTTTTCTCCTATTTATAAACGTCAGAATCAGCTGAGTTCCAAAATTTTTTTTTTAAAATCCTCTTGCTATTTTTATTGGGATTGCATTAAATTTAGAGACTAACTTAAGAGGAAGTGGCATTTTTACGATGGTGACTCTAGCCGAGGACATGGGCCACTTTTTAAGTCGGTAAATGATCGCCCAGAAGAGGTACAGCCTTCGACCACTCCCCATCCCTCACGTCTCTTCCTCTCGCTCAAACTCACCTTTGGCCCCTGTGTTCTCAGAAGCCCCAGCTGCCCAGCGGGCTCCTCACTCCTTAGTTCCTCACCCCAGGCCCAGCTGGGTGAGGACAAGGCCTGCGACCACACGGTTCTGGGTCTCAGAACTGAATTCTCCCGTCACCACCAATGACTGTCCCAACAAAACTCTCCCCCCAGCCTGGCCTCCAAGCCGCCCCAGCCCTCCTCCTGCCTGAGGCGGGGCTGGGCTTCCAGGTGCAGAGACCGACAAGGTGCTGAACATCCCGCACGCTGTGCCCACAGGTGACTGCTGGCTGTTGGCAGCCATCGCCTCCCTCACCTTGAACGAAGAAGTCCTGGCGCGAGTCGTCCCCTTAAACCAGAGCTTCCAGGAAAACTACGCTGGGATCTT